GTCATTATTGGGATCAGCTCTAATAGTAATAGTAATAGTCCGCTTATATGGCGCTCATATCCAGGCACATTGCCTGCTCACGGCGCTACGTACATTACTATCCCCGGTAATAGGACACTATCGTACTTTCCGATACTCTTTCAACTCCCTTGGGATCATAAAGCCATGCTGCCTGTTAGGCGCAATGAACTAAACATTCACACTGCCAGCACACCCTCACGGGTACCCATTTTACAGCTGGGTGAACTGAGACAATGTTGATCTAAGTATCTTGTCCAAAGATACTACGCAAATGTGCCCACCTCGGGACCCGAACATAGTGTAACCGGGAATCGAACCCGGGCCTTCGGCGTGATAGACTGACGCCTTACCACTGCACTATTGCGCTCTACCTCTGTCCACGGATGGGATTGGGAACTGTAACGTTGTCACCAACGTGAACTTCTGACAGAACAACTTTACTTCTTTCCACCATTCTCTCGGCTTTTCGCAACTGAGGGTCTACTGCCCTCTTCCTCTGGATACTGATCTACTGACGTCTCTTTGCAACAAGGAGTTCTGCTGATGATGGCGGATCTGGAACAGCTACAGTAACTGGTGGTGCATCTGGTGCTGGCTGGTCTGAAGGAGGTGTCATGGCGATTATGGCATTGGTGGTGGTGGAATTGGGTTTAACGTCGTGCTTGAGAATATTTCGCTCATATGACGACGTGCATGCGTGTGTATGTGTATGTGCGGCTGCTTTTACTAGCCCAGACTGAAGCTGGTTTTATAGTGCTAGCCCACTGAGATACCATGCCGCAGTGAAGCAGAAATACCCAACTCAGACACATTATACTGACTCCGAGCCGACCAGTCCTTATTGTACCCATTAATGCCGAGCGCCAGACAGGGACCCACAAGTACCATATTTTAACGCCTTTTGGTATGACGCAATCGGGGATCGAACCCGCGACCTTCCGCTCTCCGGGCGGACGCTGATTATGGCATTGATGAGATCTTCTTCCGTCTCCAGTGTTGCAATCACCTCATCTGGGAGCTTTGAGGAATTTATTCCAGTTGGTGCATCTGATCCAATATAGGCAGCAAATCGTGTTTGCTTGATTCCGCTGTGGTAGCTGGAACTGAACAAACTTGGGTCCCATGGTCCAAGCAGTGGTATTGTTGTCAGACATCCAGGCTGTTAACATGTCCTTCACATCACAGTTGGCAGGCTAAGTGGAATCCTTAGGATTGGGGGTGACGTGGTTTACCATGTATGATTTTGGTGCTAGCTCACATCTGTGACACTTCCTCAATGACAGCAGCAGTAAATTCGGGATTCGAATCCCGAATAAGAATAGAAATTCAGATTCGGGATTCAAGTCCCGAAACCCGAATGTTGAGAAAACTCAGATTTGAGGTTCAAATATCGGAAACTGTAGTTTGGTTTTTATGTGTTTAAGTTACCCAGGTGTACAACGAGCACCTAGTACATTAGAAGGGGGGTGAAATATAAGAGTTCAAATACCGAATGCCGAGTGTCGAGTGTGCAAAAATACCGAATCTGAAAAAGATTCAGTTTCGGGATTCGAATCCCGAATCTGAAAAAATTATTCAGATTCGGGATTCGAATCCCCAATCCCCAATCCCCAATCCGTTTTTAACTTGATGTTGCTCAATAATAGCACGGGCGCATTCTGCGAAACAATAACCCTTATGCATGGGCGTCTTTTGGTGAGTGAGTGAGGTTTTACGCCGCACTAAGCAATATTCCAGCTATATGGCGGTGGTCTGTAAATAATCGAGTCTGGACCAGACAATCCAGTGATCAACAGCTTGAGCATCGATCTGCGCAAATGGGAACCGATGACATGTGTCGACCAAGTCAGCGAGTCTGACCACCCGATCCCGTTTGTCGCCTCTTACAACAAGCATGGGTTACTGAAGATCAATATTCTAACCCGGAGTGAGGAGTGAGTGAGTGCAAAAAGGACGTGATGTTTTTCTGACGGAGCAACGATCATGAAAGTTCGAATTTGGTATTGGGGACCAAGATCAGTGGATCATGTTATATGCGAGAAAATATCACTTGCTGTGTCATCAACGCTACACCCAAAGAATCTGTTTCGGCGCTGTCTAATATTCAGATAATTTCCAATGTTCAGGCTGTCAACCACTGGTTTTTCGTGTCTAGATTCGAACTACAACAAACCGCTGGGACATTACTGGAGAGTGTCAAACAACAGCTTGTGTGTTCCGAACCAACATTATTTTCAAGGATTCAAAGATTGATATCCCAGTTATGGACAGGTCTTCTGAACTAGGTTGGTGTTGAACAATAGCTCCAGACCGAACTTAAAAGGTCTGTCATATATTACAATGAGAGTTCAAAACACGGGACCACAAATCGTCAAAGATTGTGCAAGTGTGTCCGCTCAAACTGCTTCGGAAATGTCAAACTACCAATCTGGTTAAGCTAATGGTGAAGACTTCCTCGTTGTTTATTAAATAAATATTGTCCAGTGATTAGAAGCAACAACAGTAAAATACAAAGGGGCAAACATATTTCTTATAAATATTCGCCCACGCAGTCAATGTGTTTTAATTAATTAAAAATTAAAATCCTCAAAAATATTCCCATCAAGGCAAATGGGAGGAAATCTGGTTAAACGCTCTTTTGACGTCCCTTCACCATCAAGAAAGTGCACCCAGCCTTTGTGTGTTAATTTATGGGTGGGGCAGATATCAGAGCGAGCGTTTCATACACAATACAAAATCCGTATTAAGTTAAGAACTTACTGTATTTCAGTGCGATCCTGCATATAATGCCGTTTAAATCGGAATCAGAGGTACGACAAAACCCCTAATACTTAAGGTGCACTTCTTGGGCGATTTCTATTTATTTTCTAGTTTATTAATCACAAATATATTTATTTGAAATTGATTCTCATTTTCTCCACCTGCTATATTTGTAAAGATAAATAAAACATAACTACAAACTGCAGTACAATCTTTTATTGTCAAATAACTGATCGAATTATTCAAATCCCTGCATTCGGTAATTGGCCAATATGGACCTTGGCACTGGATATTTAAGGATGCCGTGTTATCACTGGTAATGTATTAAAGACAGATATTATCTCAGAAAATGCCTGTAAACAATAACCATTCTTCAGACTGGTCAAAAAGTGAACATTATCTGCACAAAATACAACAAAATCCTTGTTGTAAGATGTTAATGTTGTTGCCTTTTTTAATAATTACTTATAATTTCAATAATCAGAGAAGAGGGTAATTTAGATATTTTCACCAAGTGATGATGAGTAGGTTGACAGGGCCTTGATTTTCGAAGCTATCTTAGAGCTTCGAAAATCTAGGCCCAGGTGTTTAAGCTGTACAGGAAGGAGATTCAGGAGTGAGTGTGGTTTTACTTTTAGCAATATTCCAGCAATATCACGACAGAGAACACCAAAAATGGGCTCACACAATCTACCTATGTGGGGAATCGAACCAGGACCTTAGGCGTGACGAGCGAACGCTTTAACCACAAGGCTACGACACCGCCCAATTCTGATTCTGACCGGTTTTGCCACTTTTTCTTCATAAATGCCTTGTTCCTTTACTGTGTGAAATGTTTCATTCCTTGGCATGTCCATTGCATTTTGTACATGTAATTCTGCATTAGATCATTAATTTGATATTGAACAGGACATCGAATGTGTCCATGTCTTCCTTCAAGTCGCCCATTATGACCAGTATTGTGTAATGTCAGATCTAGGGATCTGTGAAGATCCGGATTACAACTGGCCTCAGCAACCCATACTAGACGTGACCATGAAGATCCAGGTAAGAATTGGTCTTCAGTAACTCATGCTTGTCGTAAGAGGCGACTAACGGGATCTGGTGGTCAGGCTCACTGACTTGTCTGACACACATCATCGTATCCCAATTGTGTAAATCAATGTTCATGCTGTTGATCACTGGATTGTCTGGTCAAGACTCGATTATTTACAGACCGCCGCCATATAGCTGGAATATTGCTGAGTGTGGCATAAAACTAAACTCACTCACTCAATTCCGGATATAGATTGATGACTCTGTTGTCAGTCAATAACTGAGTAAGTGTACGCTGCTTTCAGCAATACTCCAGCAATATCATGGCAGGAGACACCAGAAATGGGCTTCACACATTGAACCCATGTGGGGAATCAAACCCAGGTCTTCAGCGTGACGAGCTGACACTTTAAACATTAGGTTACCCCACGGCCCCTGTCAATCATTGCAAGGTCTGGTGCAGAGTCGATTGTTTACAGTCAGCTATCAAGTCATGGTGCCCAAGCCATGTGGATCGAAACTCATAATGTCACTGGATTGTCTGGTCCAGAGTGGATCGTTTACAGACCCATCACAAAGCTGGAATACTGCTGAATGCTGCCTTAAACCACAAACAAACATCAAAGACTTGAGTGTAATCAAGTCTGGGTCAGCAAACCTAAGGCTGTGTGAGCAACAGCCCACATCATTTAGGTGAGTGAGTGAGTGAGTTTAGCTTTACGCTGCACTCAGCAATATTCCAGTGTATACTCTCTTACCACAGAGTTTACTAAAGTCATATCTTCCCACATACCTCTGTTCTAATACGGCCATATTTCCCGGTTCTTGTAGTGAGTGAGTGAGTTTAGTTTTACGCTGCAATCAGCAATATTCCAGTAATATGGCGGTGGTCTGTAAATAATCGAGTCTGGACCAGACAATCCCGTCAACAGCATGATCTACGCAATTGGGAACCAATGACATGTGTCAACCAAGTCAGCGAACCTGACCACCCGATCCCGTTAGTCACCTCTTAGGACAAGTATGGGTTACTGAAGGCCAATATTCTAACCCAGACCTTCACGGATCCACATCATTTAGGTACCTCACATGCAGTCACAACCTTCAATCACAAACTTCATTGTAGTTCTCTCCTTCAATGGCAGACTTCTCCTCTCCAATGAAAACAAAACCAAAATACTATAAAATTTGTAATTTTGTGTTTATTATAAATTCTCAGATAGGTAAAGAAAAATGTGATAAAAATAAAAAGTTCCTGAAGAAAAGAACAAGAAAAGAACTAACACAATGTATCATTTGTGTAAAAACAAGCATTGTTTCCTTGGACAATATTGCTCACAACAAATCACTGTGATTAACAAACAAAATGACCGTGTAAAGGCTGTTTATAGTATCGCATTTCAAAATCAGAATATCACTCACACAATAATTCATCTGTCCCACACTGCAGGCAGAAACACACAGCAAACTCCTGGTTCATACGAAACAACAAAAAACAATCTATATCTGTGAAGTGGATGTTCCATTTTGAGGGATTTGGTTATCTTTATAACAGGTACATACAGGTGCATAGTTGGTGCTGACAACCTTGGAAAAATAATGACTATACTCAGGCCTTGAATGATACAGTGATTGAATTTAATTTTCCGCCACTTTTAGCAATATCCCAGCAATATCACGGCAGGGACACCAGAAATGGGCTTCACACATTGTGCCCATATGGGGGAATCGAACTTGTGACGAGCGAACGCATTAACCACTTGAAGATATGACTTTTCCATCATTTGTAAATTGCTGACATCTCTAATTCAATCAGTCAAATCATCCAGAACATGTCATTCAGTTAACAAGAATAAATCAACACATAATTTTCTTGGTAAACGAAACAAATGTCTGTACAGAGGCCATGACTTTTCAACTTTTAGACATGATATACAGTGATAAGTAATGCCTTGATGTATTGAAATGCAAATTCTATTATAAATAGCAAAAAGGAATATCCCAGTCAAACTATGAAAAGAATAAAGTGCTTTCATTTCAGAATGATATTACAAAGAAAATGATATTATATTACGTTCACTGAAGCTGGTCAATTTTCTTTGGCCTTCTTCCTCTCTATGCGTTTAAGGGCTCCCTTCCTTGCCGATTTCAAGAAGTTGAAAACAACAAAATCAGGCAGGAGGACCGTAATTGTACTCTGGAAAGAAACACACTTGATGAAACATTATTATCAGATTTAACAGAGCTGTGTGCATTCAGCTTCCATCCTCACATCTCGTCACATCATGGGAGTATACAACCATGATCTATGTCAAGGTTTTGCTCGTTTGTTGTTTAATGCCACACTCAGCAATATTCCAGCCATATGGTGTCCGTCAGTAAATAATGGAGTCTGCACCAGACAATCCTGTGATCAACAGCAGGAGCATCGATGTACACAACTGGTATACGATGACATGTGTTAACCATGTGAGCAAGTCTGACCACCCAAACCCATCAGTCACCTCTTCAGACAAGCATGGGTTACTGAAGATCAATTCTAACCCAGGTTTTCAAAGGCAATAATCTATGTTAGGCACTATAGTGACTACTATCACAAACTGAACATGGTCATGTGTCTAGTTAGAAAACTCATGCTTTACTGGCAAACAAGGATAAGTTGGACCTGCGCAGAGAACGCGTTTACGAGAAGTAGGCGGTGCACGGCAATGAGCAAACCCATTTAGTTTGTGAAAGGTAGAGATGTAGGCTAGTACACATGCAGTGCATGAAATTGACTCCGAGTGTAGCTGCACACGCCTTGCTCATAAAACTCTCACGTCGTCGGTGTAGCACTATACTTGATCGGAAAATCTGGGGCCCCTTTCGCTCACAATGGCAAGCACCAGTGGGCAGCACTCATTCAGGCTAATACGGGTCATTTATCAGATCGGTGCTCAACTTATCCTTGTTTGCCAGTAGTCAGGGGTACAACCAAGGCACTGGAACCTGAAGTTGTCAGGCTCATCAAGGTTGCATGTTTGGACATTCTTTAAAACATAATTGTATTTTGTAATAGCTAGAGACAAACATGAGCGAATATGACATTAATATGTTCAGCAGTTCAATGACGGTTGGTTAGACAAACAAAAACCCATAACAGCACTTAGATGACTTCAAAATGAACTTAATTTCTGGGCTTTATAACTTGGAAAAATGCAAGACAGTAACCATTTGTAACTACTATATATTTGGCCTGACATTATCTTTCAATCGCCTATTACAAACATAAGATTAAAGAAATATTGTGCAAAATGATAAAACATAATTGATGGAACTTTAACAAGTGGTCAATGTGAAATAGAAGAGATTTTATGACTGCTTCGAGAAACTTGGGCTCCCATAATCAGCATGTCTGAACCGTTGAGCCCCGTGAAGATCCGGGTTAGAATTGATCTCCAGTAACCCATGCATGTCTTAACAGGTGACTAACAGGATCAGGTGGTCAGGCTCGCTGACTTGGTTGGCACATGTCATCGTATCCGGATTGGGTAGATCGATGCTCATGCTGTCGATGACTGGATTGTCTGGTCCAGACTCGATTATTTACAGACCGCCACCATATAGCTGGAACATTGCTAAGTGCAGCATAAAACTAACTCACTCACTCGCTCACTGAACCTGTGTAGCAGTGAACCTACCTGTATTGTGTGCATGAAGTATCCATTTGTGGAGTTGGTGATGCCAAGTGTAGCAAGAGCAGCCCGTACATACTGGTCTGGGTAGGGACAGAAGGGGTTGGAACGACGAATACCACTCAACTTGGTGGCGACAAAGTTTGGTCTCACAGACTGAAAGTGAAACAAAGAAACTTTTAATTTAGTTGAAAAGGTCACTAGTCACCCATTCTCAATCTCACAATGCATCTCGATCAGTTTTGAGGCCATGAAATATCAGGGCAGCATTAATCGACCTAATAACTCACAATCATGGTTTAATGCGAGTAATGTTTAGCACAACATTCAACAATATTACAGACATATAGCATAGGCTTACCATGTCAAGGCCAGACACATCAGACACTGAGCAACGCTCTACATGTAGTCAGGTCACCATGACATGGAATCAGCCATATCACTGCAGTGTTTGCCCTTAACCCTGAAAAGCTGCAGGCTTTAAGGACCCAAGACCATAAAAAGTAAATATTTCAATATGGAAATAATCCTCTTGGTTATTGGGGATGAAAAAGCTCTCGGTTTTAAGGACCTGCAGAAAACAAAAGCTGTGGGTCCAAGTGGTTTTAAGTCAGCTGGGGCCTAAGGACCGACAGTTAATTTCAACGCTGTATCACAGCATTGGACACCTGAGACATTTTACTTCGAAGCAAATCGGGGATCAAGTGTACCTTCAAATCCCAAACAGGCTAATTTCATGAACAAGATGACCAACAGATAAAGGACTGCATTGTCCAATATTAATTTTCCTCAAAACCAATCAAAAACAAGTGAAATGTATCAACTTCATCCAACTTCATGATTTAATTGCAGAGGTTACCTGGAATGTTATGCCTTTAGATCCATACTCAATCTGGAGTGCTTTAGTGAGGTAGTCCATGAACACCTGTAGGTGAAGCCAGGCAGTTAAACATCATTGTAGAGGAACACAACACATATATTGTTCATGACACCTCTACACAAACACTGTGTTATATCACACCACCACACATACACTGTGTTATATCACACCACCACACATACACTGTGTTATATCACACCACCACACATACAGTGTTATATCACACCACCACACATACACTGTGTTATATCACACCACCACATACACTGTGTTATATCACACCACCACACATACACTGTGTTATATCACACCACCAGACATACACTGTGTTATATCACACCACCACACATACACTGTGTTATATCACACCACCAGACATACACTGTGTTATATCACACCACCACACATACACTGTGTTATATCACACCACTAGACATACACTGTGTTATATCACACCACCACACATACACTGTGTTATATCACACCACCACACATACACTGTGTTATATCACACCACCACACATACACTGTGTTATATCACACCACCACACATACACTGTGTTATATCACACCACCACACATACACTGTGTTATATCACACCACCACACATACACTGTGTTATATCACACCACCACACATACACTGTGTTATATCACACCACACACATACACTGTGTTATATCACACCACCACACATACACTGTGTTATATCACACCACCACACATACACTGTGTTATATCACACCACCACACATACACTGTGTTATATCACACCACCACACATACACTGTGTTATATCACACCACCACACATACACTGTGTTATATCACACCACCACCACACATACAGTGTTATATCCCACCACCACACATACACTGTTATATCACACCACCACACATACACTGTGTTATATCACACCACCACACATACACTGTGTTATATCACATCACCACACATACTGCTGTTATATCACACCACCACACATACACTGTGTTATATCACACCACCACACATACACTGTGTTATATCACACCACCACACATACACTGTGTTATATCACACCACCACACATACACTGTGTTATATCACCACCACACATACACTGTGTTATATCACACCACCACACATACACTGTGTTATATCACACCACCACACATACACTGTGTTATATCACACCACCACACATACACTGTGTTATATCACACCACCACACATACACTGTGTTATATCACACCACCACCACTGTGTTACATACACTGTGTTATATCACACCACCAGACATACACTGTGTTATATCACACCACCACACATACACTGTGTTATATCACACCACCACACATACACTGTGTTATATCACACCACCACACATACACTGTGTTACATCACACCACCACACATACACTGTGTTATATCACACCACCACACATACACTGTGTTATATCATATCACACATACACTGTGTTACATCACACATCATATTAACTGAAGACATTAACATACACTGTGTTATATCACACCACCACACATACACTGTGTTACATCACACCACCAAACATACACTGTGTTATATCATATCACCGCACATCATATTAACTGAAAACATTAACATACACCAGGAACTGTAACAAATCTCTGGTAAAAACGCACCACAGACCACTCATAAGACATTCAGATTTGCCCTTTGGAATTTAAGTATGCCACAATATACACTGTTGATAATCTTCAAACATGGCAAATGTCATTTCACCTTTAGCTAACTGTAGAAAAGAACAGTTAAACAAATATTAAAAATTATGAATGTCAACATTTATTTCAGAATCATACTGTGCTTTAAGCAGAGATGCCAACCCCAAAGTGTTGCCAATAGTAGTTTCAAGGATCAAAATTAGTAGTTTGACCATGAAATTAGTAGTCAACTAAATACTTAAAATCATGATGGATTCTGAGAAAGATAATATGACACTAATCAAGAGTGAAGCCTTAAGTTCACATACCTCTAACACAAGATTTCCAAACTGTTACTTGCAATGATTCCAGTTCAAATATGTCATTAAATTTGATGAATGGAAGGTAAGTGAAGTCAAAAATTTATTTAATCAATGAAAATATATGTTTTTGTCTATATGTTCGAATTTTAACGATTTTTCTTCAAATTTAGTAGAATTTCTAGTGCAATTGTATTGGCATAGTTTGAGGCTAACTTCATAGTGACTACGATAAAATCATAGAGATGGCATCTCTGTTAAAGTTGGACTCAAAACCATGATCAGCAGTTCCAGGGAAGACTAAGGGACACAACTCTAAAAAGCTGTGACCCCTGGATACCATGCAGGTTGGAGAACATACATTACTACAGTGAACACTAGTTACCTTAGAGGCAGAGTATAATGCCAGAAGTGGCAATGGCCTTTCAGCAGCACTTGACGCAATGTTGATGACGTTACCACGGCCACGCTCAATCATGCCTGGCGTCACGATGCTGGTCATCTGGAAAGTTTACAGACAATCAGCTCCTGTTTCACCTTGGACAATAAACTAAGTTAGGGAAAGATCAATGGCTGTGTCAACTGTAGAGCTAACAGATTTCATAGTGAATATAACTTGAAAGGTAAAAGATACAATCAACAATGTGGAAATTACTAATGTTGGAACACACGTCTTGAAGAGAGTGAGTTAAAATTTATCATCACATAGACAATATTTCAGCCATAACATGACAAAAGAAAATTATGCAACAATTATAAAAATATATTCAAACGGTATAAAAAAAAATCCTGTTGCCAAAGGACTGCAAGAAACTTACCATCACCATCGATAGCATATTGCAGTTCAACATATCTTTAACCATCTGAAAATGGAAATAAGAGTTAATGTACAGAAAAGAACAAGACACAAACATTGGCACTTGTCACAGGAACTCAGAGTTAACAAAGTCAACAGTTGAAAATGTTAACAAAACATCAGCTGACAAGCTTTGATAATCAATTTCTGTATAAATACATTGAACTATTGATATCACTATGTTACCTTTTTCTGTCTGTTTAATTCAGATAGAGATCCAAACAGAAAGAAGACTCAGGGCTCCAGATAAGGGCCGTATCGGCGTATGTACGGATATAAAATAAGCACGATACGGTAGGAAACAATTTTAAAAACGTAGCTGATACGGACCACAGCAATGGTGTACGGTTTCAGAATCATTTACAGACGTATTTATCTGAAAAAGTATTGTTATATTGTTTACTGACCTGTTTACACAAGAGTAGCAATGTTGTGGTGCATATATGAAACGAAACACAAGATTACTGATACGCCATTAAATTCCATTCAGTACTCTAAATGTACTCTTATTGTTTTCCAGTACTCCTATATTGAAAAAATAAGGAGTACGTACTCCTGATCATGAAAAATTATCTGGAGCCCTGAAGACTGAAGCATTGAGAATGAGGGTTGAACCCTCAAATGCTACCAATCAAAGAAGACTACTAACACTGAAAATTTACTTGCACTCAGCACAAGATATTAGTCTCTGGCTTACAGACAAGCATGAATTGGTAAGGCTGGCCATGTGGGGACTCCAAATCTCTTTTCATACAAGCGATTTATGATTTATATAAAAAATATGTCAGTACAAAAAAACTTGCCCTTTATGATTTTCACTTATATGACAAAAATATGTCAGTACATAAAAAACTTGACTGAGTTTAGTTTTCCTTTAGATTTTCACTTCACACTGACAAACAGATTACTGTTCATATATGTAGACGACCATAAGGAATAGAGGCTATAGGACTGACTGACTCTACAGTAGTCCATGAACCGTATAATTTATCTTTCTGCCCATCCCTATCAGCAATGCTAAAGTCTAGAGTACCTGAGAATCCGAATCTCCAGGCTCACTTGGGCCCCGTTGCAATTTAAATCGAATTATTTGTTTCTATCAAACTTATATGTATTGAGAGACTGAGTATTTGTTTAGCTCTACAGGTGCATCACCTTTTCTCTGTTGGGTATGTTGAAGAAGTACTCGGGTAACTCATAGGCCATACCGACATTGTTGACTGAAACAAATAGATACAGAAGTCAGTACCAGATACAGATGTTCATACCAGATGGATACACATGTTTATACCAAATGGATGCTAATGGCAATACCAAACAGTAAGAGGTGAGGTGAGGTGAAATTGGGTTTAACGTCGTGCTTGAGAATATTTCACTAATATGACGACGTGCATGCGTGTGTATGTGTATGTGCGACTGCTTGTACTAGCCCAGACTAAAGCTGGTTTTATAGTGCTAGCCCACTGAGATACCATGCCGCAGTGAAGCATGAATACCCCACTCAGACACATTATACTGACTCCGAGCTGACCAGTCCTTGTTGTACCCATTAATGCCGAGAGCCAGGGAGGGACCAACAACTACCATATTTTAACGTCTTTTGGTATGATGCGGTCGGGGATCGAATCCGCGACCTTCCCTCTCTGGGCGGACGCTCTAACCACTACACCACGGAGGCAGTCCCAAACAGTAAGAAGAAAAGTATAATACTTTATGGATAACAACTTCTTCAAGTCACTCTTGCTTGACAACAGTATAGGAAACTATACAGAAACGTCACATCATGATAAAATAGAGAAGTTGTTATCCATAAAGTATTAGTGTTGGGAATTGGTTAAAATCTCATAATTGATGATTGGTCATTACTACCGATCAATCATCGAAAATAATTGGTTAGCGTCATTTATGAAATTTGTTAATGCACATAAAAATAAGGAAAAAAACATGTAGTTCTTTGGGTTTTTGGCAAAATTTCATATCTTTAAAGGATGACTAGTATGTTAGGAACATAAATTTCTTGGAATCTTTAAGATAAATTCAATCATGACTTGAAACGAGCTTGTAGTGCTTACGAAATAAAACAGACAAAACCAACCACGTGAAAAATATTGTTAATGAAAACAAGTGTTCCAGAATTGTTTGTGTTCGATTATGAGAAATTATGATCGATTGCTTGGTCGTTTAGTCACTACGACCAATCTTCAATTATTTCAATTAATCGGACCACCACTATAAAGTATTATACTTTTCTTATTATTCATCAACTTCTAAAATGCCAGTCAAACAGATAATACCAAATAGATACAGGTATCAGTACCTAATGGATACAGATGGCAATACTTTTTGACAATGGCATAAAGACCTATACCAAAATGTTGTTCATAGGTAGAATACTTAGGTTGTCATCCCTAAAAGAATTTTGCCTCTGCTGTTACTTGGATCATTGTGAATACATAGGTTGTCATCCCTAAAAGAAGTTTGAATCTGCTGTTACTTGGATCATTGTGAATACATAGGTTGTCATGCCTAAAAGAATTTTGAATCTGCTGTTACTTGGATCATTGTGAATACATAGGTTGTCATGCCTAAAAGAATTTTGCCTCTGCTGTTACTTGGATCATTGTGACTGAACACAAGATAAATAAAATTGAATGGTATAAAAAGCTGAATGAGCTAAATTCTTTTAGAAAAAGACGAATGTTTTCCATGTTATGTAGACTGTAGGTATTCAAAGCTGCAGTCTCACAATGGGAATGTAGCACATCAACTGCTGTAAGTCTATGTGAAAGTATAGAAGTTACGATAGTCATAGTGTTACGACAGATTTGTGAAACGAGACCCAGAGTCCCGATCCACAAAGCATTTGTAGTGTTACGAGCTATCGAAACTACATAGTTTATCATAAAACTACAAATGACAAAGTCAAAGTGCTACGAACGCTTTGCAGATCCGAGCCCAGGTTATTAACTTTAACCACAACAGTGTATACATTCTCTTCCCACAGAGGTTACTCAAGTCATATCTTCCCACATACCTCTGTTCTAATATGGCCATATTTCCTGGTTCTCGTAAAATCCCCTAGTGGCAAAAAATTGCAACATAAATTATCTCCCTTCCTTCTATCCAATCAGAACAAGTGTTACATCTACTTAGATCCGATATAGCGGTAGCGATAGTTAGTTGATCAACATGTGAAGGATAGTTTTGGTATTTCATGTTCCGCCATTACATGACTGAGTTCTGTCTAGAAAAAAAGTTTTCGCATCCCGCAGGGGAAGAGGTTCTAGTTTTCCCGAAGCATACAGAAATTACCGAAGCTTTGCTAATGATCGCCTTTGAAACAACCTCGATGATCACTAAATTTTGCAACCAATCAATCCTCGATGATTGCACCATGAAAGGTGAGGTGAGGTGAAATCTTATTTACCAACCAATATGTTCGGGCTGCTTGTACTAGCCCAGAGCCTGAACACTGAGATACCATGAAAGGGCCACATCAGAACATTATACTTACTCGGTACACCTTGTTGTACCCATTAATGCCGAGTGCCAGGCAGGGACCAAACCTATTTTAACCTCTGTGGGAACGGCCGGGAGAATGCTCTCAGTGTATACAGAGGCGGTCCCACCATGAGCATTAGAACTAGGTACATGGGAAGAGTAGAGTAACCTCTGTGGGAAGAGAATACAGTGTATACCAGCCCCTGACCGAGTTCCTATCTCCAGCCCCTGTAGCTCCCTCTCAATTCGTGAGTAGATCTCCGTCTGGGTGAAGTCCACTGCAATCACTCGAGTCTGGATGTGAAACCTGCTCTCTGCAAGACAAAAAGACGGGAGGGTCTTACTGAGGCTCCTATTTTCTGAAATTGAGGGGTATTTTAACACCGTATTTTGACATGAAATTGAACATGTTCATTACTATAACATACAACAAAACATGAAATCCTCTTCCTCTAGAGAGACAATCTTCACCATACATACTTTTGTCAATCAGACCACATTGGGCATTAATCCACATAAACATTAATTCCCACAAGAAAATCTGGAAAAGATGACCTGTCAAATCGTGCGCTATCCGATAGAGGCAAAAGATGAATGAAAGCAAAATATAGTTCCGTTTCTGTGGACTAGTGATCAAAATGGCAGTCTGCATGTGATCCCCTGATGTCTTATTTCAGGTGCACAAAGCAAAATGTCACAAATGTACCGTTTTCAATCTGCATGGAGTGGGGAACAATACTACCTACACACATCACAGAAAGTGTGTTGATGTACTGCATGTTATGCCACATATCTGATGAATGCCTTAGCACCAAGTCTAATCCATTTTGATTGTAAGAAATTCAAATCCATGAAAAACAGTGAGTGAGTTGAGTTTCGCTAATTATCTAAATGTAACCTTTTGCCGCTATTAGCAATAGTCCAGCAATGTCACAGCAGGGAACACCAGAAATGGGCTTCATACATTGTGCACAAGTGGGGAATCGAACCCAGGCCTTCGGCATGACGAGTGATTGCTTTAACCACTAGGCCACCCCACCGATTCTCAAAAACAGTGAGCAAACACACAATGTGAAGGATAAGCGAATGACGCCATTAGACCCTATTAGACCCATTTCACGTGGAGTAGGTATATAGGTGTGGTTTTGTGTCGCGATGCACAGCCTACTGTTTAATCCCCTTGTTGCCTGGCTGTCAGCTGGCTTTATGCTGCAGTTTGAAAAAACACGTACATTGTTCAAAAAGTGTTACCACGTAACCAAATGGTATAACATTCAACCTGAGTCTGTGGCCTTTCCTACAGAAGCTTCTTTTAGCAAAACTAAAATGTAGATTCATGTCTAGAGGTGACTATTAACGGGGAAAACAACTATTGTAACACGTTATTGCGAAAGCGATAGTCTATTGTGACCAACTATTGCAATACAATTGCAGTAGTTTTTTCTCCTTGAAATTTCTCATTTGAAGTCATTTCCCAAATGAATGTATAGTTTATATGAAATAAAAACAAGTTGAAGTAGTTTCAGTCTCTTTTTATAACAGACAAGAATCTTGAAACCCTGATCAAGTAAACAGTTAAAACAAACACAATGGAGCTGCAAGTCTACACCTAAACAATAAAGAAATACAAAACAACATAAATACCTAATAGCTTATGTAAGTCCTCAGAACACAACAGTGAGATATCATAATAATAAAGTGTCCAGATCAAAGTCAAACAATATTTTGAAAAGTTACTGATCCCAAAAGTTAACCATGTTTCAACATGTATAGTCAAACTATGATTATGGATTAAGAAAAGAAAGAAACTTGAATACTTGAGAAAGTCTCTGAATAAACAAAGTGAATGAATCTGGTACTTTTTTTAATTTGAGCAGCGCATTTATCAATGGAGTGAATTACTAAACTATTGATAGTTACACGTACTATCGATGCATCAATAGTTTTTCTTTTGTATCATCAAATCCCATTCATAACTACTCGCCTCTTTCCGTGACCTACAAGAGGGAGTGAGTGAGTATGGTTTTATGCCGCTTTTAGCAATATTCCAGCAATATCACGGCGGGGTACACCAGATATGGGCTTCACACATTGTGCCCATGTGGGGAATGGAACCCGGGTTTTCGGCCCGCTTTAACCGTTAGGCTATCCCACCGTCCCAACCTACAAGAAGACACGTACTCCTATGGCCACATTGAAAACAAAAAGAGAATAACAACCAGCAGATTGTCAGAATGTTTCGTACTACTTACATGCCACATTTATTCATATACGTTGCTTGAATCAACGAAAGTTTCCTTCCAAATATCCTGTCGATGAACACTCCATTTTGAGAAAGTCACTTCCCGATAGTGATGTCATACGCATGTCAACATTGTTTTACATATTTGTTATTTTCATTGAGGTGAGGTTATGGAAATACACACAATCATTTCTATCTTGCTGCTTACATTTTCAGTTCTATTGCTTCTTTTGTATTTTGTATGCTTTTTGAACGTGATTAATGTCAGTATTTTCATCTTTTGCTTTGGGACGAGACCGGAGACCAGTCTAAATCAACTGGCACCAGTTACGTCAGAATCAAAGGGCGGTAACTCTGGCCTGTTTAGCGATGCAAACAAAGGCCTAATAATGGAATAACATTTCAGCACTTATATTGACGGTTATACTTTTATTGAAACAAAAATGAGTGTATATGAAACATTGATATTAACTAATTAAAAAATTCCATTTTGTTTCACATAAGAATAAACGTGATTTTTTCATGCACACTTCCCCTTTAATGATT